CCCCAGCCTGAGGCTCAAAATTTTTTTCGGGATATTTCCTCTATTTCATCGGAATCTTGCGCCCCATTCGATAGAGCATCGCAACTATCTAATTGGGGGAGCCCGTTTTAGCGTTAAGAGTAACGGGAAAAAGGGACCTAACGTTAAAAGTTTACGAACCTTGCGCCCGATCCCAATTTGAGAGCTTTTCATTATTCCCCAAGGTCAGAATATAACAGAAAAAATCAAACATTACTGGGGGACTCTTTACAGTGTACACATCCGGATTACGGTGACTACAATTATTGTCATAATGCGATAATTCATTCCTCGAGTGCAGTACCCTTTTTCTAGCGAAAACGAATATTTATGCATAAAATTACATTTAACATGGGGCAGAGTTCGGCAAGTTTGACTGGCTCCTATTCCTTATCCTGTTTGGCCACCTCGAACTTGCGGTCCCGATTTGGCATGGCCGAGCCGACAAAGTACGCGTAGAAATCGGTGTTCGCGGGAAGCTCCAGGGTGATGTTCTTCTCCGGGGTCAATTTTAGACTGAAGTTTTTACCATAAATTTGAAGACGATCATTAAGCGATCGTAATTTAAACGAAACCTACTCAATTCGTTCCTTCGTCTTTTGGTTCCTCAAGTAGAACTGTTCACCATCAGCCAGGATACCGTTGGCCCAGAAGTTTTTCGGAGCATTCCCACCGGATAATGGGAGACTGAACACGTATCGGAGGCCGTCGGTGTTCTAAAAGTTATTTTTCGACAGAATGTTATTGCGTAGGCAGTTTCTCAAAACCGCTAGCCTACCGCCGGGTAGTCCTTCTTGAAGATGACGCCATTCTGTTCGCTTCTCCCGCCCTCCTCTTTCGGGGTGCTGTATAACGCGCCAAAGTCCGGAGAAGCGAGCGCTGAAAACGGGATTTGTTTAACTCTAATTTTTTCCGGATTTAATTGATTTTTCTATGTTAGCAAACACCAAAAATTTAATTCAATCTCTGGTTTAAAAACCATCAAATTTCCAAAATAAAGCAAAAACACTCACGCACCGCGTCCATTATCGTTAAATTTTTGCATAGGTGGGCTGGAGAAGGTGGCGGTGAATTCTGGAGCGTCTGTGGTATACCTTAACTTTTTAGGTAAAATTTGAGGGATCAGCATCCAAACTTACTTAAATCCAACGGCGCCGTCGGGCATCATGAATTCCAGCTTCTTTTCTTTGACGCCACATACCCTCAAAATTTTGTGGTGAATTCTTGATCAACTACAAACTCGAAAAATCCTTGGTCGGTTCGCTGCTGCGGGGAGCTCAAAGTTGAAGCAATCGTAAAGCTTGCCCTCCTCCATCGACGGGATGTCAAGGGTGACGTGAATACCGTAGTGTATCCAGTTTGTCGAGTCCTAAAAACCGGAAATAGGGCTTTAGGCTTGTTTTCTTATGTGTCTCTGCTCGCTTATCTCGGGCTTGAGCTAGCCACAAACGTCACCAGATGAGAAACGTACCAAAGAATTTCCCAAAACTTCGTGAACGACCGTCCCGTTTTTCTGCTCCAAAAGTTTCGCATCCCGCTTAAGCACGAGCTTCTTATCCCCAGCTTCTGGGATTTTGGCACGGATCCAGGCATCGTATTCTGAAAAAAACTTTCCACTTTGAAAAGAGACTACGCTACGCTACAAAATCCGCCCAGAATTTGAGAACCTACTGTGCTCATCGGGGTCATTTTCAGTCGTGCTTTCCGGGTAGACTTCCACAACCCGCTCTCGTTCAGCAGCCCTCTCGGTACGGTTGGCCGGTAGGTAGCCGTACTCGCGTGCGGGTACATCTGGGTAGACCTGGGGCGCCGGTTGATACACCACAGTTTCGTTGTCAGCTGAAATCCCAAAAATCTCTACAAAATTTTCGCAAAGCAACGATGCGCTACGATGCGATTCGGTATACTATTTGTAGTACATTACGCTAAGTTAGGATATGTCACGGTGCGTTACGAGACGGATAGCCACGGTATGGTACGAGACGCTACGATACTATAAATCCGCTTAAAACCTTCAAGAAGCATCAAAGATCACACACTCACCCAAATCTCGACGTGGTCGCGACTCCTCGACGGTACCGTCCGGCTTGACGAATGAGTAGTTTGTATTCGCTTCGGGATCGGTGTAGACCTGGGGTGCCGGCTGGTACACCACTGTATCGTTGTTGTCAGCTATAACTGTTAAAATTACACAACCTAAGGAAAGCAGCATAAATGTGGTGGAACGGTACGCTACGCAACATGCGACACTACAATACGCTACGATAGCATACGTTAGTATACGCTTTTCTAATAATTTTCTAATAAATTTCTTTTCCAATACGCCGCAGTAAGGCTCCCTACCTTACGATACTGTGGGACACCTAATAATGCGTTTTCCAGAAAAATCACATTACCTTACACTATACTATGTTCTTAAACCCGATCGGTTACCATGCGCTACAATACGTTTTTTCGCGGACTTTTACCAAAAATGACTATACCGTAATACATATACAAATTACTATGATCCGCGGCGCACCTGGCTTCACCGTTTTCACTGGCTTTGGCGGCACCGGATCGGTGTAGACCTGGGGCGCCGGGACGTAGACAACCTTCTCATCATCACCCATTAATGCTGAAATAGCGCAAAATAGAAGGAGAAGCCGGAGCATGGTTGCAATGGCACCAGGGGCGTAGCTAGGGCCAAATTTCGGGGGGGCCCGAAAAATTTTGGCGACCTCCCCCCCGGTCGCAGCAAATCCCGACCAAAAACAATAATAATTCTTAATATGTGAAAACTTATTTTTATTCTAGTTTATTCACAACAACAAACGAGCATCAAAACACAGCATCAACAGATCGTCATGAAAACAACATTTTTCTGGGGGTTTTGCCGAATTCTACGACGACTTCCTCATAGGAGATTTGATCGGAATACTTGGAAAGCAGCGCTAGGTTTGACATTCGTTGTACGCCCATGGCGGAGCGACTGTCTGCCCAGACGCGCTCCATTAGGCTGAAGCTGCGCTCAACCCCTGCTGTGGTAACGGGCAGCGTCCAGTCTCGGACGCATCGATTAATCGAAAGCACTAATTTGTTGATCCTCAAATACTGTAGCTCTGTTTAATAAATACCTAGAATATTCTTAAAGTCCGCTTAAGTTCACGAGTTATACTAATCAACAAAGAACATCCATAATCTCACACAACATATGCACGAAGCAAAGCTGTTGGGGCCGCCGGGGCCAAGGGAGGGGCACCCGACCACTGGAGCAGAATCCGCGGCCGGGGCCGGGGCCGGGGCCGGGGCCTTGGTCGGGGGCCGGGGCCGGGGCCTTGATCGGGGGCCGGGGCCTTGATCGGGGGCCGGGACCTTGGTCGGGGGCCGGGGCCTTGTCGGGGGCCGGGGCCTGGGCCGGGGCCGGGCCGGGGCCTGGGCCGGGGCCTGGGCCGGGGCCGGGGCCGGAGCCGCTTGCCAGGAGTCACATTCTTAAACTTGTCATTTTTATTATGTTTCCAGCCGTTTCTTTTATCGAAACATCGAGAACATCGATAAAAATCAAAAAAATTTTCGAAAAAATAGCCATTTTTTTCGGCCTTCGGCCGATTTCGGGGGGCACCAGGCCCAGGGGGCCCACCTTACGCTACGTCCCTGAATGGCACGGAAAGGGTAAGCGAACGCACAACACAAAATGGACCGACCCGGAACCGGCCCGCCCTAACAACTGCTGCCCCTTTTTTCGGGTTGATACTTCCCCAAGGTCAACCGGAATGAGGCGGAAAGATTGTTGAACATCTTACGCGGATGTTTGGAGATAGGAAATGGGTCAAAAGCCCTCAAAATTACAGGCATATTCGAACGATCTGCCGGGATATATCGGATGGGATAAGTCAGAAGTCATTGATCCGGATCTCGACCTTCACTTGCTCGTCCCTTTAAATTTGGATCCAAAATGTTATGGAACCAAAATGTATCCGGCGGAACATTTTTGTCTGTATTTTACAAAGCAAAAGTACTGGGAAAGACCTTGAAAAACTTTATTCAAAACTATTCAACTGCTTTATATGATTAGGGTGGCATGGATGAGTCGTTGAGAAGGATCAGGTCGAAAGAGAGAGAGAGAGAGAGAGAGAGAGAGAGAGAGAGAGAGAGAGGGAAAGAGAGGGATACACAGCTAAAACGATATGGTAGGGCCGGAAAAATCGATGGGGAGATCACCAGGTGAAGACCCAGAAATCATAAATAAAAAAAAGACAAGAAAAGCTAAAATATATTTCTGGTTTTTACGAATTCAGAATACCATTTTTGCAAAACTATACAGGAAAGGAAAAAAACGGCTAAGTACAGAACAACACGGGGTTCAAGGGGGGAAGTCGAGCGACTTTGTTCACACTTCGTACAGACAGGCCCGACGGGCTGAGTGGGGGATACGGTAGCTGGGGGCAAGGTATCTTAGTTTTCTTTGTTATCCTCGTCATCTGCATATTCGTCTATTTCTTCGTCGTCATCATCATCTTCGCTGCTATCATCAAGATCACCGATTGTCGCATTCATGAAATCCATCACATCTTCGCCGTCGCTGTCCTCGTCGTCAGTGGGGAAGTTGTCAAAGAACTCTGGGGGCATGTCCCACATTCTGAAAAATTAAGGTTATCCAAATATTTACGTCTTACGTACTTGACGATACTTACACCTAAACCTACACCCAAACGTTTAAAGTATCACTCCACTTACCGGTCGACAAACCGAAGTAGCGTCTCGTACTCGCGCTGCATACCCCGGATGCGCTTCGCGTCCTCCATGCATTCGGCCATTTTGTCGCGGATCGAGCTGAAATCGGGTTGTTTCGCCTATCAAATGATCTCTGCTAGCTTGCCAGGTAAACCTGATTTGAAGGACTCAAAGGGCTAGGATAGGCGTTCAAAAACTCACGCTTCTAGTTGAATACAGCCTTCGATCATCTCCTCAGCCTCGCCGATCTCTTGCTCTTGCTGGAAAATCACAAATCTTCTTAAAGTTTAAATTGTAAATTTGTTGGCTCTCACTCTCTAAGTCTCGCTCGCCCTTTCTGACTCTCTTTCTATCGCGCGCTCTCTCATGCACGAAATCTCTCACTCTCTCTCTCTCGCCTTTCTCACTTTCTCTCTCTCGCTCGCTCTCTCTTTCTCCCTCTCTCTCTCTCTCTCTCTCTCTCTCAACTCGTTATCTTTTTCCGTCCACTACCTACCCGCTCCATATACTGCTCAGCAGTCTCGCCCTCCTCAAAATTCTCCTTGGACTCGGCCTCGTGCGCCAGATTCTCCCTCATCTTCGTGACGTGTGCCTTGTACACCTGCATCACGAATTTGTCTCCGTCCAGATGGGCACTCGTCGCCGCGGTCATCTGCTCGGCGGTGCTGATGGCGTCGTCCAACTCGTTGCTCCATTCCCCGCGAATCTGGTCCTGGACATAGCTCCGGAGGTCGACTGTGTAGTCGTTCATTTTTTGCTCAGCCGTTTGGTCCGGCATTTTGGGCTAAAAGGAGTGATAGAAGTTACTGAGGGATAAGTAAGTTTAGGAGATCAATGTCGTGATGCCGTGAAAGTGATTTAAAGACAAAAAATACGGAGAGTGGAAAAGACAATGACTTTTATGGGTTAGCGAGACAGGTACAAAGATCGAGAATGGGAGAGATAGAGACATAGTGCGCGGGAGCGGGAGAGAGAGTGATAGAGAGGCCGCGAGAGAAAGAGAGGGAGAGAGAGAGAGGGAGTGAGAGAGAGCGAGCGAGCAAAGCTACAAAAGCACCACTTGAGACTGCGAGAATGGCTCGACAGTAGCCGGTCCCACGAGCTTTTCAGCACTCCCACAAAAAAATGCAAATCTCGAATCTCGAATGTTATATGATGAAACCTTAAAAAACAAACAATTGCAAAGCATTTCGTTTTGACATCGAATCGCATTCCAAAAACAATTTCTGAGAGCTTTGAAAATTGAGAATCTTCAAGACGTGCAATAGGTGGAGCAGATCGGGTGAATAAAGGACTCAAGGGTCATTTGTGAGAGAAAGGTGCGTTTCAGCCTCTAAAGACCAGCTTTACTACTACCGTAACCAGAACGCGCTACGCCCGGAGTGGAGCGTAGTCATAGGAGAATTTACCGTCACATTCTAGGGAGCCGTCTTGTTCTAAAAATGAGGAGCCCCAGATCATACCAGTCAGCTAAATTTTCGTTTTGGCAAGAATTTCTTAAAGAAATAAAACTTTTAAGAGCTAGATTTTTAACCGTAAAAATCGGAAATTTTCAAGACGCACAATATGTTGGGCAGTTTGGACGAGATCAAGGGCCAGGGCATTAGAGGCAAAATCGAGAATAAGGGCTTTAGGACCCAGTTTACGCACCGTAACCTAGGAGCGTACGCCGGATCAGGGCGTAGCCGTATGGGAAGTGCCGTCGTTCTACAGGGCCGTCTTGATCGAGCTCCAGGAGCGCCCCGCCAAGGGGACCCAGGGCAAGGAGCGGAGGTGGCATGGGACGACTGGGAGAGGGTTGGGCGATGTGTGGACCGCGTGACGAACAGCACCGCCAGTGGAAGACGGCAGACAGTGCGAAACTCGAGGGAGCCTAGATGGGAAACAGCGGATGTGGGTGGATAGACCAGAGATACAGCCCACCACAATTGGCAGGCGAAGCAGGAATATAGGGCCTGAGGATAAGGCAGGGCGAGTGAGGGAATAGAAGGGGGACTGTGCACCTGGATGTGCCCTCTCCTCCTCCTCCTCGCCTTCTACTATATCCTCGTCACTCCAGCCGAGAACCATACTCATCGGGCTCCATCACCTCCAACCACTGCCCATACCAACACAACGATTCCGGTGTTGGTTCATGGATTGAGTGGGGGGGGCTGATTTGGAAGCGGATGGTTGGTGAAGCCAGGAATTTCCGAGCAGATGAGACAAAAAGAGAGAGAGAGAGAGAAAGAGAGAGAAAAAGAGGAGAGAGAGAAGAGGAGAGAGAGAGAGAGGAGAAAAGCAGGAGAGAGAGAGAGAGAGAGAGAGAGAGAGGCAGGGAGAGAGAGAGAGAGAGAGAGAGAAAGGCGGAGAGAGAGAGAGAGAGAGAGAGAGAGAGAGAGAGTAGAGAGATGCTAGGCACGGACAGAAAGACACATAGCCATATTTACCGGTATCTGTGTCGAAGTGTCT